ATGCCAATAAACTGGAAAACCTAGAAGAAATGGGCAAATTTCTAGAAACATACAGCCTGCCATGACTAAATCAAGAAGAAACAGACAACCTCAACATGTGGCTCACTAGAAGTGAAACTGAATTTGTAATTTAAATAAAACTCCCAGGAAATAAACGTTCAGGGCCAGAAGCCTTCACAGGAGAAGTCTACCATACACATAAAGAAGAACTTATACTTAGCCATCTGAAACTATTCCAGAAAAATTGAAGAGGAGAGAACACTGCCAAATTCATTTTATGATGCTTCATTACCCTGATAGCAAAACCAGGCAAAGACACAGCAAAAAGGAAAATGACAGGTCAAGATCTTTGATAAAGATAGATATAAAAAATCCTCAACAAAATGTTAGCAAACCAACCAACAATATATAAAAAGGATCATACACCATGATCAAGTTGGATTTATCCATGGTCACAAGGATAGTTTAACTTTCATAAATCAATCAATGTGATACACTACATTAATGGAAGGAAGGCTAAAAATCACATGATCATCTCAACAGATGCAGAAAAAAGCATTTGACAAAATTCAACATCCATTCACAATATAAATTCTCAAAAAGTGGGTATAGAGGGAATATATCTCAACATAATAAAGACCATTTATGACAACATCATACTCAACAGTGACAAGGTGGAAGACTTCCAGCTAACTTTAGGAACAAGACAAGGATGCTCACTCTCACCACTTCTATGTAACATAATATTGGAAGTCCTAACCAGAGCACTCAGCCAAAAAAAGAAGTAAGAGATTTCTAAATTGGAAGGGAAGAGATAAAAGTGTCAAGATTTGTAGATGATATGATTGATACTTTATAGAGAGAACCCTAAAGTCTCCACCCCAAAACAATTAGAACTAATATATGAATTCAGCAAAGTTGCAGATATAAGATTAATATACAGAAATTTGTTGCATTTCTATATACTAATAATGAAATATCAGAAAGAGAAAGTTTAAAAATCCCATTTAAAATTGCATCAAAAAGGATAAAGTACCCAGTAATAAACTTAACCAAGGAAGTAAAATACCTACACTCTGAAAACTATAAAACATTGATGAAAGATATTGAAGATGATACAAAGAAATGGAAGGATATCCCATGTTCTTGGATTAGAAGAATCAATATTTTAAAATGACCATACTGCCAAGCAATCTACAGATTTAATGCAATCCCTATCAAAATACCCAGGACATTTTCACAGAACTAGAACAAAAAAAATTGTTAAATTTTATGGAAACACAAAAGATCCTGAATAGCCAAAACAATCTTGAGAAAGAAGAACAAAACTGGAGGATTAGGCTCCCTGACTTCAGACTATACTACAAAACTACAGTAATCAAAAATAGCATGGTACTGGCACAAAAAACAGACCTATAGATCAATGGAACAGGATA